AAACCGCGACGTAAGGTTGAAGTGGTCATTGTACGCCAATCATCGAAGGTGAACACCAAAGGGAAGCAGAGGGCGACTGACACACTCAAAGTCAAGTCTGTCTCTCCATGTTTGCTCTTCTTTCCTGGTTTCACTTATTCTCATGATCAGAGTGGAGGACGTGGATCCTGCTGACACTGCAATTGTAAAGCAAGAGCAGTCTGTCATGGATAGTGTAAAGGAGGAGGATGTTGGAGAAGATGAAGCATGGGCTTCTGCTATTGCTGCTCTGTCTGTAAGGACAGCATTCCTTCTCTCAGGCATCAAGTTCTTTGTCTCACCTTGTAACAATTTAATTAAATCCAGACAAAGCCCAAAATTGAAGACTTGGAACCAGGGCTGCCAGCAGAGCTTGGCATTGGCATTGAGTTCAATGCTGAAGCTGTCCGTGGCCATGTTGACACCCTTGGTCGCACACCCTTCCCAATCACCCTGAATCCTGTGCTGTCCCATGTCCCTGTCTCAAGAGGATTCATGAGTGCTGTGTATGGTGGGAATGGGGTGGAGACCTTCCCCGCCATTGGGAAGGATCAGATTGAAGAACATGGTCTGGATTCCTTTGTTTATATGAGTCTAGACTTCAACCCTGCTGCACCACATGGACCTGGCCATCCAGGGTTGTGGTTCAACACAGAGCCATTCACTTTTGATGGTACTTCAAAGGGTCCATGGCGGATGTTTGTCCGGCTCCGTGCCAATGCATGGCTGTATGTGGGCCAGTACATTTTTTTTGTCATGGAAGACCTCTCACAAGAAGGGTGGCTGCTACTGCCAGAAGAGGTATGTCCATCTCCAAAATGTTGCTTGTAATATCATGAGGCTAACATATCTTCTGGGTCAATATCAAATTTGCAGGTGCAGAAATTGTGGGCATATGAGACCTGGAAATTTCAATGGGGTCTGGGAGCCTGTGTACGGATCACATTACGACAGAAGCTCAAGCGTGATCCTACACCAGAAGAAGTTAAGAAAGCCATGGCATCAGGGGAAAAGTTCCAAGACATCTCTCCAAAGGAGATCCTTGCTGCATACAACAAGGGTGAAGAGGTAAGTGTCCAATTATCAGTGCATATTTGTGTTGTTCTAATTTTGCTATCACTGTCCATAGCATCTGTATGTTGCTGGTATGAAATGTGTGGGGTATGATGAGATGTTTCAGTGTGCAATTGCAAAGGGGTTTCCCATCTGGTCAAGCTGGGCAGGGAAAGATGCAACAAGAAAAAGAAAGAGAAAATCCTGGCATTGAAAGGAGGCATAGGACACAGAGGATGTTTGGCCCACAATTGTACTATAGATCCAGAATAACATGCACTGATAGAAAATTCAGTGAAATGTCAAAATGTGCAATGTGAAACACCTTATGTGTACAACAGGAAACACTTAAGCTCAAGAAATAGTCATATCATCACCTGCATGTCGGGGGATTCCCCTCATTCTGCCCATGAGTCAAGGCCTCGGGCCATGCATGCATCGACATTCAGCATTGTGCTAGATCTTTCCATGCACTCGTGCAACTACATTGCTGTGCTGATCACGCTGCGCACCTTCCGCACCTTCGACCTGCGGCCACACGCGAAGGGCCTCCGCACTGTCGCCGCGATGCTGCTCGGCCTGGTATGCAGCTCGGAAGACGGCATCGAGGAGACATCACGCGCAAGATGATCAGCAAGCTGCTGTGCGCTGGGACCATCGAGCGTGCTGCCAAGAGGCGCCGCAGCGCAGAGACCTGGCAAAGTAGGCGAGACGTCCGCGCGAGCCTGACTGGCCCCCGTGTGCTGCGGCTCGCGGTGGTGCTTGGCGAGGAGCCTGAGCACCGGGAAGCGAGACGGCGCATCGGTCCTCTCGAGCGCTTTTTTGGCCGCGCTGTGCTTGCGACGCTGGAGGAGAACGCGGATTTGGATTAGGAAGCGCTCGAGCTTGTCGTCGGCAATGCCCAGCGCACGTTCATGCCAACGATGTCGAGGATCCGATGGAGGGACGAGTGACGGTAGTAGTCCTGGATGAGAATACCGAGATGAGAGAAGCGGAGGAGGAAAATAAGAATGAAGAGGTGGCGACGGAGAGGATACGGCAGAGGAGGTTGAGGTGAAGGACACAGGCACGGACGTATCTGCGCCCGTGGATCCCCGCTCGGGCTTCTGGAAGGTACCACACTTACTTGATGATTTACTTACACCTCCCACCCTTCGATAAAGTGGAATAATTGGGTTCCAAGAAAAAGCCACGATTCGTTGGGCCGGAGGAACGAACAAGCGCCGGTGCTCAGCATCCGGCGCTCGTGTAAAGCAGCCGCTGTACACAGCACCGAGGGACGTTTGACCTCGGATGATCGTCATATACTTCTTGCCTACATGTCCGGAGATTTCTCCTGTTTCGTGAGTCAACGGCGATCCTGCCATTGAGTCGATCAAAGGGCTGCTTTCTGAATCGCTTAGAGATTGTACGTCAGGCGGTTACTTCCTGTTCTAACCACAACGACGCCCGTCCCCGAGGAGACTGTTGTATACGGTGAGTCCTTAGCTGTATATGTTTACTTGAAAGGCTGCGGTATTACTCACCATGGCCACCCTATGCAAGACTGTCGGAAGAGTCCGAGTTGGTCGTCAGGCGCCCGCCGCCCGAAGACAGCCTGAGTACTTACGAAGCTCGGACATTCAAACTGTCAATGTCAAATGACAATCGGCATGATGCCTTTCAGAGCTGGATGGACCCACGGCGGCCGGTCATTGAGGACAAAAGAAAGGGAAAAAGAGAGAGAAAGAGCCAGGGTGGTGACGATGCGTGGCTGTGCACGGTCGCAAAGGGCTCGCGTGGAGGAGACAACAAGGCAACGCGACGGAATATTCGTTTGTTAGAAACGAATCGGAAGCCTGAGGATGACTGCGCTTGCGCCCGACACAAAAGGTATTATCCCGCCCTTTGCAGCTTGTTATCGACCACCAACTTGCTACACACCCGCTCACCCTGCCGCTGAACAGATCACCCCCCCTTGTCCTTATCCGTTGACCGTCTCCCTTCTTCATCGCCCTTTCCCTCTCCATCCTCGACGTTCCTCCCACCACCCATCCCAGGCGCACACGAATTCGCTCTCGTACAACCCCCAAAGCGCGTCAAAAAGTCCAGCCCACTGGCCGAGAGCCCACAGCCCTCGGAACAGCCACCACAACCCCCGCAGCAACCACCACAGCCCGCTCCGAAATCAACCATGCTGACCCCGACGGCGCCCACGGCGCCCTCGCTCGCATCCCCACAGACCCCCAAGGCCCCAACCGGCGCCTTTCCGACCCCATCTCCCGCCCCCGCTTCGACCCCAGCGGCCGATACCGACATTCCTCCACCTCCCTCCATCTCCATACCCACCCTGAACGCCTCGCCCGCCGCCCACCCCCGGCCGACCTCGCTCGCATCCTCGCGCCCCGCGCCCCCATCGCCCGCCGCCTCCCGGCGCGCTAGCGCCGCGCTCTCGCGTGCCTCAAGCACGCGCTCGCGGCCATCCTCGACGCAGTCCCCGGCACCGCGCCGCGCCTCCGCGCTCTCCGTGCCCGACTCGCCCTCGCTCCCGGACACCCCGACGCCCGGGGCGACGCAGCGCGGCGGCACCGGCGGCGGCGGCATCTTCGTCAAGATCCGCGACTTCGCGTACCCGGCGCAGGACGAGCGGCACGCGGGGCGCGGCGCCGACGCGCCGCGCCCGAACAAGCGGCTGCAGCGCCCGCTGTCCGCGTGGTCCTCCGCGTCGTCGTCGTCGGCCGCCTCCGAGGACGACGACGACGACGAGCGGCGCGGGAGCGGCTGGGGCGGGTTCAAGTGGGGCGGGCTGTCGGGCTGGTTTGGCGCGCATCGGGGCGACGGCGGCGGGGGTGGCGGAGGTGCAGGTGGCGGCGGGGGGCCGAGCCAGGGCGACTTTGAGCGCAATTTCGCGGAGACGCCGGAGGAGGAGCGCGCGGACCCGTATGCGCAGTGGGAGCAGTACTCGGACGACGAGTACGAGGAGGAGGGCGCGGGTGCGGACAGTGAGGGCGTGGGCGCGGGCCCGCTGCTGCCGGGGCTGTATCGCGCGATGTTTGCGTTCGAGCCGGAGGGCACGGCGGAGATGCGGCTGGAGGAGGACCAGATTGTGCGCGTTGTGGGGCGCGGGGGCGGCGTCGGGTGGGCGATCGTCGAGAGGTCCTTCGAGGAGGCGCGTGAGTTCGGTGCGCACGCACTCGTGCCCGAGGGCTACCTCGAGGTGCACAGGCTCGACGAGCCCGAAGACTGAGCGCGTGTGTGCTCGCCATCCCCTGGAGGGACGTGCATGTCGTTGGTATCTCGTATTCTCCATTTTTCTTTTACTCTTTGTTGTTTTCTAGTCTCCTCGCCCGACTCGCTTCACCCGTATATATCGCATGCAGCGCTCATACATCTGTCCTCTCTCCTCCTCCACCATACTTGAACTCATATCCTCATCTCCATATCCGGTGTGTAGTATACCCGCCAGCCCAAAAACCGAACTGTTGTAGACATCCCCCCTCCCACAGAATAAGATAAACGTCCTCTCATCAGAGTGTTGTTAGAATACCGTTGTTCACCTAAGTAACCGATTTTCTCTCAGTTTCACGCTCTGCATGGCTTATAAAAATCTCTCAAGAAATAGTCCATGGTCATGACAAGCTATTTCATGTCTCCATCCCTCGAAAAGCGAGCTCACAACCACTAGATGGCATCGATATCGACTCCCGCAATATATACCAAGCTATCAGACTTATATTGCGGCATTACTGAGGCTCGAACCTGCGCTCTAACCGGCACAGCCACTGACGCTTAACGGCACCTTGATCATTGATGTTTTCCCCCTGTACACAATAATAGACGATTTACCATACCAGGAGTTGTGACTGGTTTTCGTTAGTGGAGAGCATTTCTGCGAGAGTGAACGGTGAGCAGAGTAGTTAGAGAAAAAAATCGACTACATGTTTTGTGCATGCATCAGCCGGGAGTCGAACCCGGAGCTAGGCCACACCACGGAATGGGAAGACCCAATGTTACCGCTACACCACTAATGCTTGACACAATAGAGGGCATGTTAATCCACATGTCGTAGCACCGGAGCTTTGACGCGCTGTAAGCCTGTAACACCTCCTTGGGAAATCTAGATCGTCTACATGCCGGCAGGCCAAGCGAATCATACATACACAAAACCAAGACTTCCAGGGCTCTATATTTCGTCTATATCGACCGCCAGCGGGCGCCAACACCCCCCTCAATCGCTGAAGTACTCCGGCAGGACGAATGCCAGCTTTTTGCGGTCCTCGTCCTTCTGGCGCTCGGAGCGCGGCATGATGGCAAACTTCATGGACCCGCGCTCCTCCGTGAGGATGTCGCCCTGCACGGCGGCATCGTGCAGGTCGGCAAGAATGGTCGCAGCAACGTGCCGCGCGGTGTCCGCGTTCGCCTGCAGCGTCTTGAACACCTCCGCAGCAGTGACAGGCTCCGCATTCGGGCGCCACGCGTCGTAGTCCGTGGCCGTCGCGACAAGCGCGTAGCTGTTTGTTATCAGCCACGAGTTATAGACGGCAGGACACGCAGAACATACCTGATCTCAGCCTCGCGCGCGAGCTTCGCCTCCGGCAACACGCTCATGTTGATCAGATCGCCGCCCCACTGGCGGTACATGAGGCTCTCCGCGCGCGTCGAGAACTGCGGGCCCTCCATGCACACGATGCACTTGTCGCCGACGAGCTGCACGCCGCGGCCCTCCTCCTCGAGCGCGCGGCGCACGCGCGCCTCGAGCCAGCGCACGAGGCGCAGCGAGAACGGCTCGCCGAAGCCGGCGTGCGCGACGACGCTCGTGCCCTCGAAGAACGACGCGGGCCGCACGCCCTTCGTGCGGTCGATGATCTGCGTCGGCAGCGCGAACGTGCCCGGCGGGATGTCCTCGCGCAGCGAGCCGACCGCGGAGAACGCGAGGATCGCGCGCACGCCGAGCGACTTGAGCGCCGCGATGTTCGCGCGCGCGGGCACGGCCGACGGCGCGATGGTGTGCCCCGGCCCGTGCCGCGCGAGGAAGGCGATGTGCGTTTGCGGCGAGGACGGGAGCGAGCAGAGCGTGATGGGGGAGGAGGGCGCGCCCCAGGGCTGTGTGAGGTAGAATTGGTAAGGCTGGGAGGGAGAGGGAGGGGGGGCTGCGTACGGTTTCGACGGTGATTTGTTTTCTGGGCCATGGTCAGTGCGTGCGCGTGCGGGCGAGGGCGGCGGAGGGGGCGTACACGAATGTGAGGTTGTCGAGGTGGTACAGCCCGCTGCCGCCAATCACACCGACGAGCACTACATGTCCTTGGGTCAAAATCCGCGCACCATCCAAGTCTAGCAAATGAGACCGACCTTGGGGTTTTTCGGTATCAGCAGCCGCAGACATCGTGTTTTGAGAGGTGAAGGAAAGACGTCGAAGCCCTAAATTCCGTTGGTGGTGTTAAGTAAAGAGATTGAGAGCGCCCAAAGCCGCCCTGCCATCGATTAGCCCGTCCGCTTACTTACCGTTAGCTAACTGGCGTCTTGAAAGACGCAATAGGTGCTGAGTGAGACAGAAGAGAGCGATCGCGATGGATTGTGAGGCCGTAAGCGCAGGCGCGCTACGCGAAATTTGCTGGTCAGAGTTCTTGGGGTCCTCAGAGTCAGGCGGGGTACCCAAATACTGCGATCCCTCTGGGTTGGCAGGCTCAAAAGATGAAGCTTTGAAGTATATTCGACAGCGCATCAGAGAAATCAACCAGATGTCTACATCATGTCTACAACGCAAGGGCTGTTCGACGTGCTGTCATCAGGAGTGGATGTGTCAGTTGGGGTGTCAGTTGGGTTGGACGCCAAGGTTCGACGGGTCTCTCCTTGTTTCTTGGGCTTCTTGAGTCTAAATTGGCAATATACTGGTCATACTTTGTTGTAGCATTCGTGATTTGAGATGCATCGATACAAGAGACAGTTGTCGCAATAATGATACACACGCACATATCTTCTCCAGCACTTCGCACTGACCTACTTTGCATACTGCTCAAGCGCCTCCTTCTCCGCATCGCTCAGGCTCCCCAGCGTCTTCTCCAAATACGCCTCCATACTCCGCAGCGGCCGCCCAAGCAGCTCCTGCAGCAGCGGGTCGACGCGCGCAGTCTCGCCGCGGCGCATCGCGTCGAACGTCTTCGCCCACTTGCGCAAGAAGTCCTCCGAGCCGCGCGGGTCGTCCGGGTTGGGCGACTTGTTCTTCGCGACGTACTCGTCGACGGAGACGACGTGCAGGTTGACGGGGTGCGCGAGGATGCGCGATATGGTGGTGGAGAGCTGTTGGAGGGTTAGGTTGCTCGAGGCGGAGCCGGAGAGCAGCACGGTCTGGTTCTCGAAGCCGCCCTGGATAGGAGTGAGTCAGGTATCCTGGCGGGGGAGAGGCAGCATAGGTCGTACTCCTGCGATGATGCGGGCGGTCCCTTCGCCGAGATCTTCTCGGGACACCCAAGCAATGGGACCGTCGCCCGGGACATACAAGTCCGTCTTGGACTTATCGAAGAAACCTACCAACCCATCAAGTACAGGACCATCAGATGTCTGAAGTTGTCACTCACCAAAGTAGAGCGGATACGACTCCTCATATATCCCCTCGCGAATTATCGTATACGTCACCCCGCTCTCCTTCAGATACTTCTGCGTGTCCAGATGCGCCTGCATCACCTCCGACACACTGTCGTCCGCAAACGCCAGGCTCGTGTAATAGATATGCTTCACGCCCGCGCGTTTCGCAGCGTCGATCGCATTGACGTGGTGCCGCACGCGCAGCTCGTGCGCGATGGACGGGTACGAGACGATGAGCAGGCGCTCCGCGCCCGCGAACGCGGCGTCGAGGCTCGCGGGGTCGCCGAAGTCCCCCCGGCGCACCGTCACGCCTGCGGGGAAGCCGGCGGTGTTGGCGAGCGTGGGGTTGTAGAGCGAGACGGTGATCTGTGAGGCGGGGACGAGCGGGAGGAGGTGCTTGAGCACTTGCGAGCCGAGGCCGCCCGTCGTGCCGGTGAGAACGATCATGGTGGTGGATGCAGGAAAGTGTCGGCGGACGTGGACGTGGAGTTGGAAGCTGGAGGGATGGATGGAGTGCTCATAATCTATATATGACGGAGGCGGACCTTATGGCGAGCGTCGATGACCATGACGAAGCAGTGGGAGATTTCTATATCTGTGAAGGTTATTCCGTTCTGCCGCAGCAGGATGAAGCTTTATAAACCAGACGACGTACTTACTAGTACTTACCAGCGGCAGTTGCTTTGACGTGGATCGAGGAACATCAACTCGAAGGAAAAGATGGAAATCGGCCAGTGCATCGTACTATGTAGTAGTGCGAAGTCGGGCTCTACAGAACGCGGTTGAGTTTGAAGCACGCGTGAGGTTGGTGTGATGGCCGGACACATATCATATATGCAGCAGTAAGTAGCATGATGATACAAACAGCGTTTCTACTACGGTCTACAGTCACAACAACACTGCAATAATTACATACTAGCATGTTCTGTTCCTTTCCTTCAACAGACCCGCCCACATACACCATGTTCTCTATCTAGAGCCACCCCTTCGCCTTGAAATCAGCCACGCTATCCCTCACGGTTTCCTCAAGCGTACGGAACGGAATCTCCAAAATCCGTGCGCACTTGGAGTTATCGTAAGCGGCGGCAAACGGCTTGTCCTTCGTCGCGCCTGGTTGGCCCTTGTGGAGCTTTGCGGCCACCTCCGGTGTCGCACTCGAGTTCGCAAGGTCCACTGTGCAACAAATTCCATGTCAGATTATAACTTTGCGCAGGGTGAGGGACTGGACATACAGATATCCTGCCAGTAGTACGGTGCTGCGTTCAACAACCCAGGTTAGTCATGGTTTTAGAAGATACTAGGAGAATACCCACCAGCGCTGATAATGGTGCGTTCCCCACCCGCAGCGGCCTTCTGGGCTGCGAGGACATGCGCGAGCGCGAGGTCGCGCACGTCGACCATGGAGGCGCTGCTGCTCGCAAGCTCGGCATCCGTCTTCGCCCCGCGTACAACGTTGTTGAAGAGGTCGAGCATGGAGGTGTTGAGTTTTGCTGCGGATTCAACTTCGTGGATTGGAGGCTATAGTGCAAGATGATAATTAGACCGAGGTGGAGTCGGGGGAGGTGACGAAGACACGTACACCAAAGACCTGTAGTTATGAGATGCGATGGCGAGGAACAAAGGTTAGTGGTGTAGGGGGGAAAGACGAATGGGACATACGAAAGGTGGGTTGAGCACTGCGAGATCCCATTGAATGCTAGCCGCATGCTCCTTCACGAATGCCCACGCCGCTGTACACGCGCACGTCAACAACATGTCTATACAAAGTCACTGGACAGACGCACCTCTCTCAGCAAGGGTTTTCGATGCCTGGTACGCAGCGACCTTCGACGCCGCCGCGCCTTTCTCCTCAATCTCGCGGACGGCGGGCTCGTTCCAAGAGCTTTCGTCCCATTTTCCATTGGCTGGCGTCTGGCCCGGCTTCTGGACAGATGCCGTCGAAGCGGTCAGGACGACGCGTTTGACGGCTTGCCTACATGGGCCGCTTAGTAAACGACACGGCGGACAGAACAGTAGGAAGCTTACCCGTTCTTGAGAATGGAGTTGAGGATGCTTGTCGTACCTTGGACAGCAGGGACGATCAAATCTGGCAATTCAACTTGACTTCAGTATCAGTTATCATGTGCGCGATCAAGCATAGTGTACCGTCAGGCGTCTGGATATTGAAATGGAATGGCGACGCGGTATGCTCGACCAGGTCAATACCCTTCACCGCCTCATCGAATGCACCTTCCTACATTGACACTAAAATTAGATCTGCCATACTCAGGTGAGAAAAGAGACACATACTGCGGTGATATCGGGCACGACGATGAGCTCAAATCGATCGCCAAATCCGGCGAACAGGCTGCGCAGATGCACGCCCTTCGACTCGCTGCGCACCGTTCCGCGCACGTCATACCCCTTCTCAAGCAGCGTGCGCACAACCCACGCGCCGATGTATCCGTTT